CGGCGTGCCCCCGGAGCGGGATATACCCCGCGCGGCTCCTCTGCTCGTCCTCTCACAGCCCTGCACGCAAATGCAGAAACCCACGCCGAACTCCACTTTTCCCCACGACCCTTCCCCCATCCGGAGATGTTCTCAGGAGTACTCAGGTGCCGCCTTCCGCCGTCCCTGGAACTGGGCCCTCGCCCACCCCCCAGAACAACCGACTCCAAACGTCCCTTAATCACCCAGGAGCTATTTAAGTAGATATTCCCACAACATTCCACCTCTCCTTTCAGAGATTCCCAAATAAACGTCCTTTGAAAGGTTAAAGGTTACCGCCTCACTAATAACCCACTGGACCCTGAAAACAGTGCATGGTCTCTGTTGAGATCTTTCTCCAACTGAATCTTCTAAGTTTTCTCCTAGTTTCAGGCCTTTCTCCCAGGCACCTATCACGCTCTCTGGCACTGAAATCAGTTATTCCTATTTGACTGAGATAATTGAAATTTGTGTGTATTATTAATACCTCCTCGTTGTGATTTTTAACAGTAATCCAATTCAGCCTGGTTTCAGAGGACTTGCAACCTTAATCCAATAAAATACAGTCCACAAGAAAGGAAATGCCTTAGAATATTTTTACAAAGAGAAAAAAGGGCCCTCATTCATTTGAGTGCTTATGTCTTAATTTTAGAACGATTTCTTTCAATTTTGAAACTGTTTCTTTGCCCAAAAATATCAGAGTTAAAGGCATTTATAAGACACTTTGTTTTAACGAATCAAAAGTGAAAATGTAACTTTTACAGTTAGGTATTGAAAACAAAGTTCATGCAAGTTTCAATTCCAAGAAGTCACTTTGAAAACTGCAAACCTAACTCTGTGTAATAGTATTTTACCCACTAAAGAGCTAAAGTTGGGGGAAGAGAAGAAAAAAAGAGAAAAACAGCAAGAAAAGTTGAGAGGACATTCTTACATTACTCTTTTCTAAATGCAATTCTCCACAGTTTTGTGATAAGGAGAGTGAGAATATCAATCTCAAACATGAGATAAATTTAACTATAAAATAATAAAGAAATCCTTCTAAATTTCTCATCTCATATAAAACTAGATGAGTTTATATTATGACAATATTAAGGAAAGATTCACCAAGTTTTATCTAAGGCCAGAAAGGAAAATAATTTCACTTTAAGTCTAGAATCAGTTCACAGATTATACTAAGAAATGGATTTAGCAAATTCCTGTTTTGAACCTGTATCAAGAAATCAACAACTGTTTGAAAGCTGCCTTAAACCTGGCTGCATGCACTTTGTCCTTTTAAAAGCTATTTGCAATGATACTCGACCTTGTTCCAAAAAAAGATTCCAAGTTGCTCCAGTGGGCACTTAGATTAAATAATAGCCTGAGGTATCTCACAGACACTAGAATAAGACAGACTCATTTGTTTTCCTCGTTATCCATCTGTAGATAACATACCATAGGAAGAAAATACACATTGAGTATTGTGCTTAGTTCTTTCAAGGATCCAGCATGATGTTTACTTTTACTTTTCCACAGAACAATTCATAATCATGAATCTAAACAGAGAAATAAATGCTGATGCTCAGGTTTGCCAAAAACAAAACAAAAACTGCTAACTGGACAAGTAATTTAAACACCAGGAGGCGGGAATCATGGGGACTACTCTAGAGTCTGTCTACCTCTTGCAGTAATTAATGCCACAAGTAGATAAATTTCAAATTAATTAATGTGTTCATTTGTTATCCTTTGAATTATTTTAGAATTAGAAAGAAAAAAAACACAAATGGCTATGTATAGACACATTATTAGTGTTCATTTCCAGAAAGCACAGATGACAGAAATTTAAGAAAAAATGATATAAATCATCATTGCCCTAAGGAGAAAATATGAAGAAAATAGTTAGCTACCATATTACTAATACTATATTTGGCATGATACTTATTACCTGTTAAGATTATGAATGGTAATAATTATCAGGGTCATACATTCTCATTAGAGGAAGAATGGGCAAGCATTTTAATGCTGTAACACCTATAAAAGGCCTATGCTTTTTATTATATGTTCAGTATATATTTGTGTGACAGTAATGAGTTAACATGTCAACTCAATCAATAAACACCATTTTTAATGACTTGTTTGACAGAAAGTATACATTCACATGCCAATGTAAATACAGAAGAGAAAGGGAGCACTAGTAGAAGGAATAATCAGAAAAATCAATTGCAGTTTAGTTAAACATGAGCACTAGCCCCTCTTTTTGCTACAATTGCAAACCTTAAATCTATCAGATGGAAACCTATTCAAATTCTCTAACCTATGCTATAGCTAAATATGTATAATAAGTATAAATTATCTTTGGTAAGCAAAATCCACATTCACTCATGTACTAAAAGTATTATGCTGATAGTAGTTCCATTTGGGTTTGGTTTTTTGATCCAATGCCCTGAATTATTTTATCCATCATATTTAACTTATTTAAAAAATATTGAATGTTTAAAAATCACAATTTAAAACAATGACTGGAATTTGAATATGTTTTAATATTTCTATATAGCTACTGTAGACTATCTTAATGTAGGAAGACTTTTCAATTATTTTGAATATGTTGTAAGCCATTAAAACTAGATATGGATATAAGCACCACTAGAAATTTTGTATTTCATGTAATAATAATGTACTCAATAATTGTTAGCAGTATGTAATATACAAGTTTTCACATATCATTTCTTTGTGTCTTCTAAATCAGCTGCTTGGTTACTTTGGAAACAATTACTTAACTGTTAAATTTCTCTGTTCCATTTCTCTTTGACTCTGATATTCCAAATTTCCATTTGATTATCATAATAATAGCAACTACCATTTGCTAAGAATTTACTGTGCTCCAAGCATAGAGAAAACCAAGGTAGTGTGGTATATTAGTTTTCTATTGCTGTGTTTTCTATTGCCGGCTGGAGGCTGTCCTCAGCCCCTAGAGGCCACCTGCAGTTCCTTGCTATGTAGGCTTTCCCAAAATGGCTGCTTACTTCATCAAACCAGCAAGAGGTGTCTCTAAACTCTCTAGAATGAGTCAGCTAGCAAGACAGAGTGATATTCTATTATTTTTGCCATATTCTATGGTTTAGAAGCAAGTGGCAAGGATTGCTAACACTCAAAGAGAGAGCATGGCACAAAGTTGTGAACACCAAGACATTGGAAATCATGGTGACTACAGTCTGTCTACCACCTGCAGTGATTAATTCTACAGGCTTTGGAATTTAGCTAACCCTGGGTTTTAAACTTGCTGTGACACTTTAGCTATGTGATTGTGTTATCAGTTTCTTATACTTTGTTTCTTCATATGCAAATAGGTCTCTTTTTAATTTCAATCTTGGTCTAATAGAAGTCCCCATTGGCATTTCTACTTTTAACTGCTACTTCTTTTGTCTGTGTCTAGTGTGTGTGTGTGCGTGTGTGTGTGTGTGTGTGTGCACGCACACACCTGTTTCTAAGGCCATGCAAAACCAATTCAGTATCAATACCTTTAAAAATAGGACTCAAGCTAGGTAAATTAAAAAATAATAAATCCATAGCATTAGAAAGATAATTATTAAACATAGAGGCTTTCAGAGTTTAGAGAACTTTGTTGGGATTGGCTTTTTTTCTCCTTCTGAATCATGTTTATGCATATGATACAAAAGGACATGCTATGGCATGATAGTATTCATGGGTTCTGGGTTTGCATTCTAGCTCCGCCACTTTCTAGCTGAGTAACTTCAGGTATGTTAAGCTCTCTAGAGCTCGGTTCTTTATGGGGATAAAGATAGTACCCACTTCATAGATGTACTGTTAGGATAACATTTAAAGCATTCTTAAATAGCATAGTTTAGTGCCTAGCTTATAGTCAATACTCAAAAAAATGTTAGCTATCAAATTCATTATTATAATCTTCACTATCTCATTAGGAAGTCTATGTTGATGAAAACCACAGAACAGGAAGTGACAAGACATGGCTATGAATGAAGTAGGTAAGATGAAACATGAGAAGCCACAAGATCTTAAAAATCCTCATAAGCCAAAGGGCTGCAAGTGAAATAAATAGTCAGAAGGTATGAAAAGTCACAAGTCATGCCAGGCCCCGGGTGCACGCAGCGAGCGTGTGGGAAGAGACACCCGCGAGCATGTGGGAAGAGACACCCCGCCTTCAGAGATCCAGTTCTGAAGGGGAAATGGCAACATCCATAGGTCAGGGGTGGATGGGCGGGGGGCGGGGATTAAAGAGGGGAAAAAAAAAGAAAAGCCACAAGTCAGAAATTGGACAAATAGGATCTAGGGAACAAGGTAAGACTGAATTCTCAACCAAACTGTGAGGAATGCAGCCTAAAACATCAGCAAGAGAAGAGCACATGAAACAGGTAATTCGTCAGACATGAAACCTTTTATGTACTTCCTTCTGGAGTGGGAGTCAACCACAGAACATATCTAGTCCCCCATTTTGAATAGGAAACAAGTCATGTTACTATTAGAAAATAGAGGATAAATTATTGAATAGATTAGAGGAGTACAACAATTGGAAATATGAGCATATCCTGACAAATGTAAAATTATTTTCAAATTGGACCATTTCCCTAGAGGAATATATATGTATGTATGTATGTATGTATGTATGTATGTATGTATATATGTGTGTGTGTGTGTGTGTGTGTGTGTGTGTTGCATGACACTTTAAAAAAAACATTTGCATTGAGGTATAGTTTATATGTAGCGGTGTGTGTGTGTATATATATATATATATCTCCCATTTTATTAGTCTCATTATATTTTTTCTTATGTTTCCTTATATAGTATTTGGTCCTTTTATTGTTTCATTTGGTCCTTTTGTCTATGGAGGCTTCGTCTAACAAAGTTATAAATATTTCCAGGATGAGGTTTTCTGTTGCCACTGCTATTATACTTTCTAAAATATCCCTACACATTATGAAACAATATACTACATAGTATTAGGCTTTCAATAAATGTTTGTTGAATTAAAAAATAAATATGAATTCCTCCCTTTAGTAATAGTATTTGGTATAATGATTATTAATAATTCATAAACTTAATGGATGACCTTGAAATCATACTTAACTCTTTCATATCCCACAACTACTGTGTCAGAAAATACTATTCTACCTTCAAAATATATCTAAACACTTCTCACCACTCACATTACATCCAACCTGGTCCAAGCCATTTTGCCTGAAGGGCCCCTAACTAACTATGGCTGTTGAGCTATATACTGCTCATTACAGGAAGCACCATTCACAGAAACTGCAGGGTGAATGATGCTTCTTGGAGGTATGCAGTACAATCATTCTACTTGCATAAATTATTGCAAAAGTCTCCTAGTCTTTGTCTCCCACTTGTCTATTCTCAACATAATTGTCAGCTTGATCCTGCTAAAACTTGTCAGATCATGTCATTTCTCTGCTTAAAACTCCAGTATCTTTGTTTCATTCATAGTAAAAGATAAAGTCCTCACAAGGCCCTAGATGACCTCATTCCAGTCTTATCTCTCTAACTTTATCTCCTCCTGCTTCCCCCGCTCCTTCCTCTCCCTTCCCCCTGCTGCCGTTTCTCATTGTGCTCTAATCATATTGGCCTCCTAACTGTTCCTGGGACATACCAGGCATGTTCCTGCCTCAGAGCCTTTGCATTTGTTCTTCCCTTTGCCTGGAATGCTTTTCCCCCGGATATCCAAATAGCTAACTCCCTCCTCTCTTTCAGGTCTTTATGAGGAATTTCATGACACCATATTTCTCGTTGCAACACCATGTCTTATCTCCTTTTCCACTTTATTTTTCTCCTTAGCCTTTATTGTCACTTAACCCCACCCCCACTCCCATACGTTTTATTTATTGTCTGTCTCTCCCCTAAAAGAATGCAAGCTCCATAAGAGCAGAATGTTTTGTCTGTTTTATTTACCACTTTACCCCCCAGCACCTAGAACAATGCCTGGTGCAAGTTGAGAACTTAATAAATATTTGTTGAAATAATGCATGAAAGATAAAAAGAAACTGGTGCTTATAACCATAAACTACTTTTTTTGTACACTCAGCAGGATGAGTAGCCAATTAGTCTAATGTCTTGAAAACAATTTGCCACTGATATGTTATTGGGCTCAAGATTTTTGTAAACCACTATGAATTTATTAGATTTAAGATGAAGATGATAGTCTTGGCTTATTTTACAATTGGTGTAAATTTTACAATTTTAAGTAATATCTATATGAGATTATTTTTGAAATATGTAATTCTATAATGAAGTAGAACTATAAAGACAGAATGTTTAAATATTTATTGGGAAAAATTTTTTTCATTTAAAACTTTTCTAGGAAAATTATGGGCAATTTCCAGAGAAACAGAAGCTGTAGTTGGCCTCTCAAGGGCTTCCCCAGAACCACTTCTACATCAACTGGGTATGTGACTCAACACCAGCTATGGCTCAGAAAAAAACCCTAAGC